TCTCAATCTTACACACTCTATTAGGAAACTTTGCATCAACAAAACCCTCTAGCTGAATCATGTAAACATCCTCAGCCAACTTCTTATTAAGGAAAGCGGTTTTAACATCCATCTGCGAAATTTCATAGTCATGAAAGGCAGTTATGGCTAGCATTATCCTAATAGTTTTTACCTTAGCCATTGGTGAGAAGGTTTCATTATAGTCAATCCATGGGGTTTAAGTAAATCCATTTGCAACCAATCGTGCTTTGAATGTGTGCACATTACCATCCATGTCAGTCTTCTTCTTGAAGATCCGTTTGCAACCAACTGTCTTCTAACCAGGTTGTTGATCAACCAAATTCTAAACTTGGTTCTCATTCATGGAATTGATCTTGCTGTCCATTTCTTTCTATTTGGATGCCTCAGGCCTGCCATTGCTTCCTTGAAGTTAGCTGGTTCATCCAAATTTACCATAGTACTATCACTGATAAACGTATCATCATTTGTAGTTATATGGAAACAATAGAACTCGGGTGGCGTGCTAACTCTACTAGAGTGATGAAAAGGTAATGAATTGTCAACTAGTTCAACTAGAATCTCTTCCTCAGGTTGAACCCTAACATGTTTAGAGGTTCCTTCATTGGTTGACTCTTGAATCTCTTCAAGGTCAATGGTGCTCCCACTTTCCTCTTTGCATATGAGCTCTATGTCATGAAAGAATCCTCTTCGTGCTACAAAGATCATGTTCTCACTAGGTATGTAGAAAAAATATCCAAAGTAAGGATGTCAAAAAGTCCCGTGGGACCCCGTTCCCGTGAGGGCGCCATCCCGTTTGGGGGATTTTTTAAAAAAATATCAGAGGCGGGGACAAGGTTAACCCCTGTTTTAATTTAGGGGGCGGGGGCGGGGGTAGGTAATCCCGTCCCGAAATCCCCATGGGGACCCTGTTAATAAATTACATATATATTTACATATATTAATTATATAAATATAATAAACTATAACATTATTTTGAACTTCTAAAATTCATCAAAAAACATGTTTTTAAACTGTTAGTATAATTTTTTAAAATGTCATAACTTTTTTATTTTTAACATATAAAATTTTACTATAAATAATTATTTGTTACCTAAAAAATAACTTAGTTTAGTCTAAATAACAGATTCTTTTAGCTCAAAAAAAAAATCCAAGATCAATCGGGGGCGGGAGCGGGGGTAACAAAGGGGATTCGGGGGCGCGGGTGGGGGTAGAAACATTGAACATTCCGGGGGCGGGAGGACGGGGAAATTTCGGGGGCGGGGGCAGGAGATGCACTCCCCGTCCCGTTTTCCCCCATTGACATTCTTTTTGATTTGAAAAGGGTCTTGAAAAACAATCTAAAATGATCTAGGTGTGGATGATTCAACCATAAAAACTTGGTTGTTTTTTGTTGGTAAAAAGTAAAGTATACTAAAATTACAAAGAAAATCCTTTAAGAAACTCAATATGTCTATTAAAATTAGAAGAAGGATGAATTGTGCCAACATCTACTTAGTTATTAATAAAAGTGACAGTATTCATGTCGGCATTACAACATGCGAACACCCAATTAAATCGTTTCCAATTCCCCCATGGCCCCATTTGTTTATGATAAAGCAAAGCAATTCGAATCAAATTTAAACCCAAAATAATCGATTCCAATTTCTAACACACTCTCAACAACAATGGCACCAATCACTACCTTCTTCTTCATCTTCATCACTTCGATTTCTTTCATCTTTGATTTTGCTCGTCGACACCCAGTCCATGTTACTTACAGTCCTCTTGGAAATATTTATCTTCAATTTGGCGTGATGAATCCTTTCTGAAATACTTCATTTCAGTTTATAGCTAGCCAAAATTAAGATCTTTGGACCGAGTTTTTATGGAGATTTTAGTTGCTCAAACCAAGTATCCATGATCCGTCTAATCGTGATCTTCGGATAATCGGATCGGGAATTCGAGTATGGATATTATTCAAATCCCAGGTTCTATATAATATAATGATTTGATTTGATTTGTTACTCACAACTGTATTTGGATGTATTCTCGGCCCACTAGCTCATTGTATTTGTGTTTTTTGTTGTAATTAATGAGAAGGGGATCAACATTGAAGTTTAGTTAACTGACTACAAAAATTAATATCGAGATTAATTTTTAAAAGTCGGTGAATTTGGTATGTTTTCGACGTTAATTTAAACCATTAACTATCCAATTCGTAAATAGAAATGGATGTACGAACGAAAATAGCAAAAATAAACAAAAACTTGGTAATTAGTACTTATTTAAAAACATTGTTTTTTAATATTAATTCTTCGTCGACATAATATTGAGGCTAAAAAATAAACCATAAAATAATGTGTACAACCAATCAAACATTCTACGAGTCTCGGAATGTGTTAAAAAAGTTGGTGTAGATGAATGATTAGACGGATGCACATGTAGGATGTGATTGTACACGTAACTATAATTGATTTTTGATAAAGATGTTAATGGCAAAATTGTTAAAATCTTGATTTTGATTTTACGATTTTAAGATCTTACAAGTGCAAAACGATCTATCACCTCCTTAGTTTTATTATATAGCCGAGTATCAAAACTTTGTATTAACATACTTGAAATCAAACGTCATAAGTTGCAAAAAATCTTTTATAGAATATCAATTTTATTAATTCATCTCGAGTTAGACAAAATACACCCATAATAATCACTATGTAATCTTATGTCTTACTTATACATGATCAAAATGATTTCACTTCTAATTAAGATGTTTTCAATCGTAATGTTTACGGTTTGTAGCAACAAAAATTATAGATAATGCTTAAGAAGTTAAAGTTGATTACACTATCTTGCAAACATATTTGAATATGAGTTCATTTTGGTAGTATCTTACGATTCCGATCCGATCTTACGATCACGATTTTGTAAAACCTAAAATAATTTTAAGTAAAATCTCGATTTTGACAACCTTGGTTAATGAGGTGTTTAAGGGGTATAGTTAACTATAGGTTGATTACCTTGGTTAATTGGGCGTTTAAGGTGTATAGTTAATTATAAGTTGATTTTTGATAAGGATGTTAATGATGTGTTTAGGGATGTCAATTTAATCATTATAGAATTATCCATTTACAATAGTAACTAAAAGGAACCTCATGCTTCACCCAAGGCGAATGTTTTGTTGGAAATTTGACATGATTTCTTCATATTCAACTTTTTTAGATTCTAATTAAAATTACTTTATAGATTTATGGATTTAAATTTTGAACAATCTCCATAACTCTAATGCATCTAAGTTGTAATACAATATCCTTTTGATACATTTCAAGAAGTTGCTTGGTATTTGGTGTAATGAATTAAATAGAGCGTGCCATTGAATTTTCCAATTGTTAAATTAGTTTAAATAATTGTTCTTGGGGAAATATTCAAAAAAGTCCCAAACTTTTGGGAAAAGTTACACTTTTGTCCCAACATTTTTTTTTTGAACAAAAAAACCCAGGAAACCGGGTAAATTGAACATTTCGGCCCTATTTTACCGGTGACCTTCATTTAGCCGGTTAAATTGGCTTATGTGGCAAGGACTTGCTGAGGTGGTTCATTTAATGACCTTGTATTAAACTCTAAATATAGTGGAAAACTTCATTCGTTCCCTAGCAGACAACGATTGAAGCAGGAGCAGTAGAGGACCAAGACAAATGTCTTCTTCGTCTTCTTCATCTTCAATGAATCGTCTCAGAAAGAGGTGCTACTGTGGTGATCCTGTAGGAAGATGGACTTCATGGACTCCATTAAACCCAGGAAGAAGGTTTATAGGATGCCCAAATTACCAGAATGGACTCAAAGATTGCAAGTACTTTCGTTGGGTGGATCCTCCTCTACCAAGCCAGTGGTATGCAGATCTGTTATTAGTATTACACAACAATGTCGATTTGGAGAACCATCGAATATTTGGGGAGTTTGGGCAAGAACAACCAGCTGGGAACTTTTTTGGAGACGTTGTGGAACAACCAATGGCACAACAACCAATTGCACAACAAGCAGTGGAAGGAGGAAGATGGAAATCATTGCTTTATGTCTCTGTGGTTTTTTTTGTGTTTTTGTTGGTTATGTTGATGGATTGGTAGGATAGAAAGTTGTTTTAATGTATTTTGGTTGTGTTTGTTTTGGTTATGACTAAGGGTTGTTAGTTTACTATGAATGTAGTATCTTGTTACTCATATGATTATGAATGAAGTATCTAGTTTATGTATGAACTTTAAATGTATTGATTGTAATCAATGAATGGAATCAAAGTATGACTGTAATAAGTTAATAATGGACTTCATACACAAACGAATCAATACATAATGGAGTCAATCATGCATGACCGGAATCATGCATAACTAGATATGGCTTTCAACCTTGACAGGTATGGCTTTCAAGAATGGATGGCCACATTCATGGGAAGATTTTGAAGGTTTAGTGTCTGAAATGACAATTTTACCCTTACATCAATTTTAACATAAGAGGATTATGGAGGCAATTAAAAGAAGGGGAAAATAAAATAGAACATGTAGTAATATTAACCAAAGCCAGAACAAGTTTAACATAAGAGGACCGGAATCAAGCATGACCGGAATCAAGCATGACCGGAATCATGCATGACCGGAATCAAGCATGACCGGAATCATGCATGACCGGAATCATGCATAACTAGTATCCATATAAGCAAACATTGTAAGCACAAGTAATGTATGCATGACTGGAATCTATAAAACAAGGAATCAATATAACCAAAGGGAACATAAACATTGTTAATCATAGAACATGTAGTAATATTAACCAAAGCCAAACAAGTTGTATGGCAAGTTGTGTAAATGCCCAAAAACATGATCAAGGGGCCCAAAGCCTATAGTTTATATGGATGTAAACAAAAGGGGCTATCAACAAAAGGGGCTATCAACATTTTCCCAAACCCAAAAGTTTTATACATGTTCTTAACAAAAGTAGGGATCAGAAACACCCTAATCTAGACCAAGGGGGTTGGATGAACTCATCCCCTTTCCATTCTTGACAGCTACCACCTTTTGCAACTGGATCTTTGTTATCCTTTCCGAAGGCTTCCTCCTCCTGACTTGATTCACTTTGCTCCTCTTTGTAGTCCTCTTTCTGACTTGATTCAATTGTTGTGTGCTAGGTATTTCTCTCTCTCCATCCATCCTTTCCTCATTCGTCATTACCTCACCCATCCCTGGCTCATCTATGCCATCCTCCCCATTCATCCTTTCCTCATCTCCAAGTACATGATTTGTAGGGAGTTCTTCAACTGTTATTTGGCTAGCAATTCCAACATCCTGTAACAAGCATAACAAAAAGACCAATTAGCAAGATTTAACATCACAAAATGAATAATGAGAAAGAAAGCATACTTGTGACATAGCAACATCCACATCTTCAATTTGTTGTACTTCTGCTTCAGTGAGTCCAAGACAGTCCATGATCTCTTCTGTAGTGTATAAAGATTTCCTTAGGTTGTCAATTGTTAAGCTAATTTCTTGTAAATCTGGACTTGCATCATTTTCACTCTCAACATTTGGAATGGCACCACCTCTATTGCCTCTTCCACTAGAGCCCCTACCACCACCTCTACTCCTTCCTCCACCAACCCTTCCACCAGCCCTTCCACCACCTCTAGATCCTGTTTTAGTTCCTGACCAATTAACCAAATCAGGTTCCAACCTAGGCCTGCCCATTTTTTTCTTTGGTTGAGGTTCTGGAACCACTGTAGGATTCTTGCATGATGTTTTATTGTGTCCCCTTTGTAGACAATTTTTACACTGGACAGTTCTACCCTTGCTTGACACTTGAGAGTACTTGTCTTGATTTTCTGAAACATGTCTTCTTCTTTTAACACTAGGCCTTCCTGGCATCCTCCTTTCAATGGGTGGAAGGGGCTTAGTGTAGCTTGTTTCTTCCCATAAGATACTTCCATTAACTGGGTGTATATTCTGATCATAAGTTGCCTTGTAATTATTCTTGCTGAACCAACTACTTATAAAGTTAACTGGATCTTGATTGGTGTACAATATTGCCACTTGTGCATGCACACAAGGTATTCCTGAAAGTTCCCATAATCTACAAGCACATATTTTTTCCTTCAAGTTAACTCCATAGTTCTGAAACCCATTCCTTACTTCATATTCATTCACTCCACTTGGAACTGCATGCCAACTTCTGCAAACATATAAGATAGAACATAAGATGCAAACACATAAGATAGAACATGTAAAAACAAAACAATTGAGAATACTTACTTAATGTCTTCTCCAAATTCTTCCATCTTTGTTACCGCGGAAGGACAAACTTCACCAACCCAGTTTTCAGCTTCTTGTTTCAGATTGAAAGCCCTTTCCATCATGTAAAGCCTAATCTCTTCAAGCATAGTCAGCAAAGGTTTCTTTCTTGCGTCTACAATGATTGCATTGAAACACTCAGCAATCCCATTCTCTACAGCCTCACAAGCCAAGCCAGTAGAGAAATAAGCTCTGCACCATGAAGTTGGTTCCCTTGCCATGAGATGATCATAAGCAGCAGAACTTATTGCCCTAATTCTTTCCATATTAAACTTGAAATCTCCTTCTGTGGTAGATTTTGCAGCTGCCCAAAACATGTTTCTGAACTGCACTCCACTATAAACTTTTCTGAAATTGGCATAGATATGCCTTGCACATTGCCTGTGCTCAACATATGGTAGAATATCCTTACTAGCTTCAACAAGACCCTATAACATGAAAAAAAAAGTTAATTAGCAACACCATACATTATTGTAAATAATGAAAAATAAAGAGATAGTTACTTTACCTTGTGTTGGTCACTGATTACACACACACCCTTTCCACCCTGCAATCCAAGATCATCATTAACCAAATCCAGGAACCATTTCCAGTTGTTCTTGTTCTCTACATCAACAACTGCCCAAGCTATAGGATACACCTGATTATTGGCATCCCTACCTATTGCAGTTAACAATTCACCCTTACACTGTCCCTTCAAAAAAGAACCATCCAATCCTATTACCCTACGACATGCCCTTTTCCACCCCTCTCTTATTGCTTTAAAGCAAATGTAGAATCTATGAAATGTTGTGGTATTATCAGGGTTTACATTAACTGTAATCCTAACTGTGCTGTCTGGATTGGACCTCAGTAGCTCATGCCCATAATCCCAAACTCTTGCGTAGTGGTCATTCAAATTTCCATGAATTAATGACAGAGCCCTCATCCTTGATCTATAACACTTTGACCATGAAATTTTGCAATGAAATTTACTTTGTATAATTACCTGCATCTCTTTGCATTTTAAATTAGGTTTCCTAATCAACTCCTTCACAAATTTCCTAGCTAACCAGGTAGGATCCATAAGCCTTGAATTGTTAAAATTCCTAACACATTTATGAATGTCTATCATCTTTTTGACTTGGAAAGACCTTTCAGTAGTCATCCAAGAAGCCCTAACCACAAATGGACACTTCTCTGGATCACTTCCACATATTGCCACTAGTCTAACACTATCGCATTTTTTGAAACGGATTTGAAAACCCTTACTAACAGCATAGTTCGTCAAACACAGTTTCAGTTCATGTGGGGATTCATACCTTTCACCAAGCATTGGTCTCATTTTGTTCCATTTCACCTTTGGATTGTGGGTGGAATACTCAAATTCCTCATCACTACCTTCCTCGTTACTACCTTCCAGATAATCTTCATCTGATTCTTCTTTAGTGATTCCAGTTTGAGTATCGTTTCCAGTTTGAGCATCATTTTCAGTTTGAGCATCATCTACTGCCTCGTAATCGTCTTCTTCACATAGAATATTGAGAAATTCGTCTTTGCATCGGGAAGCTTGTTTCTTTTTGAAGTACGCATCCAGCTCCACATCTATTGTATCAAAATCATGGATGTCATCCATGATTTCAACTGCACGGGGGTAAAAAACCCTAGTTTAATGAGGGGAGGTAGAAAGTGAAACGAGAGAGGTAAGTTGTACTGTGTATGTATGTGTGTAAATGAGATCGATTAAAGACACGATTAAACCCACGTATACAAGTCCTTGCCACATAAGCCAATTTAACCGGCTAAATGAAGGTCACCGGTAAAATAGGGCCGAAATGTTCAATTTACCCGGTTTCCTGGGTTTTTTTGTTCAAAAAAAAATGTTGGGACAAAAGTGTAACTTTTCCCAAAAGTTTGGGACTTTTTTGAAGATTTCCCTTGTTCTTGCGATCCATCATCCATAAATTTTGTTAACTAGTGCCTCAAATTTGTATCATTTTTAAATAACTATTACCTTGAAGTTCACCCTGAGACAAAACGATTAAGGACATTTTTACAGGATGCTGAGAGGATTTGGATTATATCAGACTGTAAAGTAGCACTAATTTGTTCTAAGAATGACATCATATTGAATCTGCACCTGAGAGAAAACATATGAAATTATATATAAAAATATACTCATTGTTATAGTAATAACTAATAATAATAATATCTCTCCAGCATAATGATGAACTTTGGTAGCTCCTTTTTCAACACTAAAGCATGAATTAGAACTCCGACAATGTTTAATTTTATTACTAAATGTTACATCAATGACTTTGGAAGAATTTAAACCCTCGTGAAGCATTGATATTAATCATTTAGTTCCAAAGGATTTTGTAACAAGCAAAGGATTTAAAATAAATAAACGACATAAAAATATAAAATAAAGAAAAAGAGCTCAAAATTGATGCCTTCTCAAAAAGATCCAAACACTCATGCTTGTCTTCGAACTCTACCTTTTTCCAGTGAATTTCTTCTGGTTTGTACTCCTAATAATGATATAATTAATATCTATACGCTATGAACTATAATAATTAAAATATTTTATATATAGTTATATGCCACTTGTTGGTGAATGAAGTGCTGCTGCACCCTCTCATCAGCATAACTTATACACAACTGGGAAAAACTGTTACGAAATTAAAACAACAAACCCGTCGTATTAAGATAATCATGGGTTCTGGAATTATACAATAAATTACTTGAAATGACAAAAATTTATATCTGTCAAGAATGCTTATTGTGTGTGGATTATGTTTTTTTTGTCTTTGTCCCCTTCAAGGATCTATCAATTTTTCCCACAACCGAATTGCACAAGCTCTAATAAGCAAATTTTGCCAATGCATCTTTTTTATTAATTGCCTAAAAACAAATAATCAATACTCGATAATGAGACGAAAGGTATTTACGTCTTTTACACAATTACTGGCATACATGTTGCAAAGTTAATTGTTTGCCTATATCATTAGCAGATTAAACCGCCACCAACTCATTCACCTTGCACCCCATTAACTTAATAGCACGTCTAGCTTTAAAAACACACACACACACACTCACTCATAGAGAAATTAGAAAAATGCATAAAAACTTACATTTTTGTTCTAAAATAGTATCTCACTAATGGATTAGACCTATGTAACATTTCGATAATGACATTTGTCTTTCTTCTCAGGTGTCATTGACGGGTAGTAGGCGTTGAGAATTATCCATTACCCTTCTTTATTGTTGTGGTATGTCCTGATCATTTATAAATGTCATTCAATCAGGCTCTCCCTGTCATATCATCATATTAAAGGAAAAGTATACATAATTAATTATACATTTCAATGTTTTTTTGAATATATATATTCAGTTTTGAAGAATATATGAAACCTTTCTCCTTGGAGAAAACAACATTTTCTCTACTTGTCTATGTCGTTTATCTGCTTTCGCATCATCATCATATATCCTGAAATTTTGTTAAGCATAATTGATTAATATTTTTAAGAAATGAGAAATAATCAACCAAGATATTAAGTAACACTCAAAAGATCAACCATTTTGATCTATGAACTCAATGTTTTTACTATCTTTGGGATCATCAGAAGACTAACTGAATTTCAGTTACTTTTTTTTTCTAATTGGAGATTTTGTTCTTTATGTTTTCTTTGACACATTAAAAACTGAATCTTTCTAATGTTAATTATAGAAATGAAATATTTGTGAAAGATAACATGTTGCGAACACATATGATGGAGGACAAGATTTGGTAGTGGAGGTTAACAAAAGAGGTTTGCCGGTGATGGATTGTTTGGTCGTGCATCCAAAACTTGTTGGTGATTTGTTATTATCAATGTTATTTAAGTGTAATAGGATTACGTTGTTGACCAAAAGTGATATCGATAAATATTAAACAAGTAAGGAAGGTGTGGAGTACACACTTGTTTAAATTTGATCGAGTATCAAAGTACAATGTCATTTAGGGGCGAAAGCCCCTGAACGAACGGGGGTCTGGGGGCAGCGCCCCTGGGAGCGGGGTCCAATGGCCAGAGCCCATGGCTGGGAAAATCTATTAAAAATCCTAAATTTTAGAGAATTGACCAATTTTGACTTTTATTCAAAATATCCGTTTTTATGACCGTTTTGGTGGTTTTGTGATAGTTTGAAACTGTCATGTGACACTTTTTAGACAATGATCTAAAAGTTAGTTTTGGTCTCTTTTTCTGGCACTCACAAAATTATACACTCTCATTCTCTTTCTTTCTTTCTCTCTAAATTTTCTGAGTCCTATCCAATTAGGGATTTGGGAGTACCACCCAAATACTTCGATTTGATAGTGATAATCACGATTCTTAGATTTCCAAGTGCCCTTAAATCCATATTTCTAACAAAACTCAAATTATTGTTCCTATTGAAACCTCATCTTCTTCATTAACTGCAAAAAAAAAAAAAAAAAAAAAAAGTTCTCTTAGTGTGAGCCAAGTGGGACTAACCCACTTGGTAGAGGCTTTGCCTAATCCAAATGTTGTTTTGTGATACTAACTGCTTTCGTGATATTATCTGCCAACCACTAACCCGCTGTTCAAAAAAATGCTCTTACACCCCGTTCCCGAGTTCAATTTAACGAGAGAAAGGAAATGAAATGAGTGGAAATGAGAAGACAATAAAAGAAATTGGTGTTCTCGAGTTTCATGAAAAGAGGGAAGTGGAAGGAAGTGGAGGGAAATGGGAGGATCACTTTCCCTCCTAATTTTCCTTCCGATTTGGGAGGATTTGGAAAGAAAGAACAAAATGATTCATTTTCCTTCCACTTCTCTCCAACTCGGGAACACAAAAGAAAATTTTGTTTTCCTTTCCTTTCTCTTCTTTTCTCTCATGTCTTTCTTTTCTCTTCTCTTCTTTTGTTTTGTTAAACTCGGGAACGAGACGTTTAGAGTGAAGCAAAGTGGATCCAAAGAGCAAGTTTAAATTTACCTGAATGACAACTAGAATTGCTTTCTAAAGTTCTTCATTGTCGATCGATGGGGTTTATTTCCAAAATTAATGAAATATGCAGAGGAAATACCAAACCCTAGGTAGCAAAAGGTAGGTGGATGCGTCATATTTTCTATACAATTGGACAGATGAAGCTTGTGCAGTTATGCTTCACTATTACATGTTTTTCAACTTGAAACCTGAAGAAATCGAAAAAAAGAACCAACGCTGAATAGAATGGAAAAACAATTCGGTCTCTATAATCAAATTTAAAAAATTAGGGTAAAAAACCAGTGAATGGATTGGATCAATTTGGAGTTTTAAAGGCATAATGTCATCCAATAGAGACTTTCACTTAGCCTCCCACCGTTGTTCCTCTCCATCCAATATTCCAATTGAAACCTTTTGATCTTCAGTGGCCGATGTAAACAGAATTCGAGATGTGTATAATGAAGGCGGACGTGACGGCTCTTTGTAAGCATTTGATTGGAAGGAAAATCATCCTCAATTGGTGGCGGCACCGCCAATGAGGCTTTCTAGCGAGGTAGAGGTTTTTTCGAGCACTGGCAACGAGTGAAATTTTCAAACAAATTTTGGGATAAATCTAATGGGAAGAACGGATCAGAGAAGGAAGCATGAAGACGGAGGAGAATAAAAGGGCATATGTCTTCGAAAGAACCGAAATTGGTATAAGAAAACACGTAAACTTCATGGTCGTATAGTTAGAGAGTGGTGCGAGAAGGATATTGGTGGAGAAAGACAGTTAGAGCAGAAGACAACACATTACAGGGGCCATTTTTTATTAGCTTGAAACTTAAGTCTAAGCCGATGAAATAAGCCTACATATTGACTAGGGATTAAAGTTGTCAACAATTCAAACTAATGTGTCAAAAGTATGAAGTATCAAAAAGTTATTATTTCTAATGCCATTGAAAATTTATATATATATATATATATATATATATATATATATATATATATATATATATATATATATATATATATATATATAAAATACTAATTTACAATTAGGAGATGAACAGTACTTTCATGTGATTGGACCAACATCAATTTCTTTGTTTTTTCTTATTTTTTTTGTTTTATCCTTTTGGAGAAATGGTTTCTACGTGGTCCGCTTTAAGCATTAGTGATATTGTTCATTGTCAAACACATATCGTTCCCACCGCTACTTTCATTTGTTTTCTGCCACGTCTCCATTCACCGCTTCCTTTGCTTTTTCACCATCTGATTGGTATCTTATGCTTCATTCTTTCATACGCATCAAAATTTTCTTTTGGTTTCATCCGCCAAATCGGTCTACCTTCCACCCCCGATCGCCCAAATCTACTCTCCTCCATACCCAACTGATCATCAACCATCCGGGCCCTACGTCTCACCGGTGAAGACAAGGCCGACAATCGCCCACCCCCACGTTTGCTTAGCTTCATTATCAACCAATTGTGTGCTTATTTTATCATTCGCTTCTCTCCACTACCTACTCCACCGTATACTTCCCTCTGCAAACGATTGTGTATGTATGCGTGTTTCAACGACTGCACAGTCTCTCTCTCTCTCTCTCTCAAACAGACAATGACGGAGGGAACCATTTGTGCTTCCTCTTTTTTTCTATCCGAAGCCTTC